CCAGAGCACCAATTTCGTTTTTTCTTAATCGATGCTTTCTATTAACCAATTTTTCAATGATAGGTATAACAAAAGCTAAAGTTTTACCAGAACCTGTAACAGCCTATTTAAGTATATAAATAAATATATACAAATAAACCATAAATATGTACAATAAAATCATATTTTAACCCTTTGATACACCAGATAGCTATGAAAGATTCTAAATTTCTGATTACCTCAACAACTACATCTTTACTCTTCATAAATAATGGAATTGTGCTAGCTTGTACAGGAGTCATTTCTAAAAAGCCGATTGTGGCCAATGTTTCTAAACTAACATATCGGAAGATAAAACTGAATCAATTAATATTATGTTTGTAATAAAATAAATTCAAATAATTTGTTGAAAATTTTTAAATATCAATAATATACATATATATCTGCGTATATATACATAAAAGGGAGGGGCAAATCTGAATCAACATATATTAACTACTTAGTTAATCTGTCTTTTCTTTATCCGAGCTCCCATTTGTGAAATGATTGGTGTCCTTGCTGATTGAACTCGTGTACTTTTCGTAATGTGTACGCGAGTTTTATTGAGATCAATTAATTCAGCTTTGTATTTAAGAGCAATATATAATGCCTTTTCGAGTTCCCCATAACTTATGCGCGTTTTTTTAACTCGGTAAATGGTTACACTAGCACGATTCACTTCAAGCTTATTCTTAACTTTGTGCATGACAACTGGAATATAGAAAATTTTTCCGTTACATGTAGCTTTCAACTCTCATTGTGATACAAGTAAATCATAATTGTATTTGTTAAGTAAGAGATTGCTTAATGCTAGTATTGGTTTGGAGTTTCTGACAACCACAAAATCATAAAACCTGGGATGGTACATTACGAACAATTCCAATAGACTTAATTGGAACAGTATCAATACCTGAAAGATCGTGTATCTTACTAGTATCAATCTTTAGTTCTAAACATTTGGCAATATCTTCACTCATAATAGTATGGTTTCAGCATCAAAATACATTTTTCCCATATGTACTCATTCCGGATATATTCAATACCTATTCTGTCATAACTTTTTATGGGGACATGGATTTGTTGAAATGAAGTTTGACTGTAATTGCCTTCTTCTATTATAAATATATTTTACTTTTAAATATCTAATTTAAGAATCCAATTTGATTTGAATCAAATTGCTTTAAAATCCGACTTGATTCAATTCGCTTGGAGCCTTATACTCTACTACTACTTGGTACATAAAATTTTACACAAATCTTTTTATCTTGGCCAGATTTTCTCATTCAAATATTATTCCCATAAAATTCAAATATTCAAATAGGGATCAAAAGATTATGAATAGGAGTATAATTTATATTGTAACAGGCAATCTGTACTCAAACACTCTGTTTATTGTTTTTTTTTTTATTTTTAACAAAGCAATGTCCTGCACATATATTTTATTAGAATAAAGTAAAGTATTTTTAAAGAATTAAATTAATATTATTTAAAAATTATTGAGTTTTTTTAAAATTCTTTAAT